GAATGAACTCCCATTCTCAACTGCTTCAAAGAAAATAAAATACCTAGGAATCCACCTTACAAGGGATATGAAGGACCTCTTCAAGCAGAACTACAAACCACTGCTCAGTGAAATAAAAGAGGACACAAACAAATGGAAGAACATACCATGCTCATGGATAGGAAGAATCAGTATCGTGAAAATGGCCGTACTGCCCAAAATTTATAGATTAAATGCCATCCCCATTCAGCTACCAATGACTTTCTTCACAGAATTGGAAAAAACTGCTTTAAAGTTCATATGGAACCAAAAGAGAGCCCGCATTGCCAAGACAATCTTAAGCCAAAAGAACAAAGCTGGAGGCATCACGCTGACTTCAAACTATACTACAAGGCTACAGTAACCAAAACAGCATGGTATTGGTACCAAAACAGAGATATAGACCAATGGAATAGAACAGAACCCTCAGAAATAATACTACACATCTCCAGCCATCAGATCTTTGAGAAACCTGAGAAAAACAAGCAATAGGGAAAGGATTCCCTATTTAATAAATGGTGCTGGGAAAATTGGCTAGCCGTAAGTGGAAAGCTGAAATTGGATCCTTTCCTTACTCCTTATATGAAAATTAATTCAAGATGGATTAGAGACTTAAATGTTAGACCTAAAACTATAAAAACCCTAGAAGAAAACCTAGGAAATACCATTCAGGACATAGGCATGGACAAGGACTTCATGTCTAAAACACCAAAAGCAACGGCAACAAAAGTCAAAATTGACAAATGGGATCTAATTAAACTAAAGAGCTTCTGCTCAGCAAAAGAAACTACCATCAGAGTGAAGAGGCAACCTACAGAATGGGAGAAAACTTTTTCAATCTACTCGTATGACAAAGGGCTAATATTCAGAACCTACAAAGAACTCAATAAAATTTACAAGAAAAAAGCAAACAACCCCATCAAAAAGTGGGTAAAGGATATGAACAGACACTTCTCAAAAGAAGACATTTATACAGCCAACAGACACATGAAAAAATGCTCATCATCACTGGCCATCAGAGAAATGCAAATCAAAACCACAATGAGATACTATCTCACACCGGTTAGAATGGCAGTCATTAAGAGGTCAGGAAACAACAGGTGCTGGAGAGGGTGTGGGGAAATAGGAACACTTTTACACCGTTGGTGGGAGTGTAAACTAGTTCAGCCATTGTTGGAAACAATGTGGCAATTCCTCAAGGATCTAGAACTAGAAATGCCATTTGACCCAGCAATCCCATTACTGGGTATATACTCAAAGGATTACAAATCATGCTGCTATAAAGACACATTCACACATATGTTTATCACAATAGCAAAGACTTGGAATCAACCCAAATGTCCATCAGTGACAGACTGGATTAAGAAAATGTGGCACATATACACCATGGAATACTATGCAGCCATAAAGAAGGATGAGTTCGTGTCCTTTATAGGGACATGGATGCAGCTGGAAACCATCATTCTGAGCAAACTATCGCAAGAACAGAAAACCAAACATCGCATGTTCTCACTCATAGGTGGGAACTGAACGATGAGATCACTTGGACTCAGGAAGGGGAACATCACACACCAGGGCCTATTGTGGGGAGGGGGGAGTGGGGAGGGATAGCATTAGGAGATATGCCTAATGTAAATGACGAGTTAATGGGTGCAGCACACCAACATGGCACATGTATACATATGTAACAAATCTGCACATTGTGCACATGTACCTGGAACTTAATAGAAGTATAGTAAAATAAATAAATAAAAGAAAAGTAGGTTATAAGCAAAGAGGCCAAAGGTATGTAAAGATATTGATATATATTCAAAAAATGTATGTCCATACAGATTTCTTGCAGCAAAATCTTAACTTGGTGCCTCTTTTCATAATTAGTAAATTTAGTTACTAATTTCCTACCCACCAGATAGGAAAGTGTCCACCATCCTGGCATGATGGTGATGTCTGTCTGACATCTGCCTCTGAAGGACAGAGATATAGTTAGCAAGGATATCACTGTATTTCATAGTAAAAACAGTAAATTAAAAAAAGCTTATTTATTTGACCTGTATTTTTAAAAAACTGTGTCTGAAAAGTAAACAAAACAACAAATACTTCTATGATAAATTGACTTTTTTACTTTGTAATCTTGTAGCCTTGGACATATCTCTTAGCATCTCCAAACCTTAGTCTCTCCATCTGTAAAACAGGCTGTGGTACCGCCTGCCTTGCTTTGTTTCTGGGTCACCAGAGATAAGGTACATATGGTATTAACTGTGGCTTCTGGCAAGTGGCATGTATTCATTATACAATTGCTCTTTTTAGAAAGCTAAGTCATCATGTGCATGTCACATGTGATCTGCTGAAATAAGGATGGACTCTAGAACACATTTGGTAAAGATTTTCATCAAAATGATCAATGATTTCTTAAAAGTTAGGGTTTTCTGGTCAACTTCTGTAATTGTAAAAACTCATGAACTTATAAATAAGGTTTTTTTATTCCCTGATATATTATAAGTAATATTTTACTTTTGTCTTCCAATCGACTTGTTTATCTTCCTATGTCAACATCCTCATGTATGTGAAAGAAAATTCTTGTTGGTTTTTAGATCATAGAATATTGCTACTGTTTTGTGTGTTCCATTGATTTTTCTATGAAAACAGTTAATTTAATTGTAATAATAGTGACCATTGGGTTTGACAGTGAACATCTTAAAAATTCGAAGTAACAGTGACGTATGTAATGTGACAGTTCAGTTTTTCTCTCATGTGAAAATTTAGATTGGTGGTTCAAGGCTGCTATGGCACTTCATGGTGACAGGAACCCAGACTCTTTCGATATTGTTGCTCTGCTGTGTATAACCTAAACTTGTGGTTCGAGATGCACTATGTATATTACAAACAGGAGAGAAAAAAAAGTGGATGATGAAAAGGACAAGTAGAAGTTTCCACAGGACACTTCTGTTGTTCTGTAAATATGACGTATTGTTGTGTAACTCAGTAGATCTCTTTTCATTTCTGAGTCTGTGCTATTGTGTGTAAACCCCATGGTTTATTCTAGTCACTGTCAAAGGACATTTGCTTGTCTCCAGGTTTGGGTTAACATGAGTAAGGCTGTGATGTTAGATTCTTATACGAGTCTATGTTGCTGTATGTGTGCATATATTCTCATTTTCCTTGGACCAACACCTTGGAGTGACAGTGCTGAGTCATAGTTTAACTATATGTTTAACATAATAAAAAATTCCAGGGCTGGGCGCTGCGGCTCTAGCCTGTAATCCCAACTATGAGAGGCCAAGGCAGGCGGATCTTTTGACGTCAGGAGTTCCAGACCAGCCTGGCCAATGTGGTGAGACCCCGTGTCTACTAAAATTCAAAAATTAGCCGGGTGCGGTGGTGCATTCCTGTAATCCTAGCTACTCGGAAGGCTGAGGCAGGAGAATCACTTGAACCCAGGAGGCAGAGTTTGCAGTGAGCGGAGATCTCGCCACTGCACTCCAGCCTGGGCGACTGAGTGAAACTCTGTATCAAAAAAGAAAAAAAAAAAAAAGAAAGAAAGAAAATCCAAAACCACTTTCAAATTAGTTGTTTTACATTTCCACCAATTACATGTGAGAGTGTTTGTTAATCTTTATCCTCACTGACATTTAGTATTATGATAGTGGCTAAGATGTGAAGTCAAGTGAAATTGTATCTTGTGATGTTAACTTGCATTTTCCTGATTATTAATGATGTTGACCATCGTTTCATATAATTATTGGCAACTTATACGTCTTGTTTTGTAAATAGCCTGTTCAAATTTTTTGCATATTTTTAACTTATGTGTTTGTGTCTATATTATTAATGTGTTCTTTATATTAGCTCTGAGATTATTTGACAATTATATGTATTATTAATATTTCCCAAGTCTGTGGCTTGTATATTCATATTTTAGTGTTTTTGATGAGCTTTAATATTCATTGAAATTCAATTTATACATTTCTTTATGTGGGGTTAGAGTCTTCTGTGTCCTTACAAGGAAGTTCTACCTGTTCCAAGGTTATAAAGATGTTCCCTTTTTTTTTCTGTATGGAGTGAGATATTTATATTCACTTTTTTAAGCAACATTTGCTACAGAGATTCTCTGTCTCTTATTGAGTTTCCTTGTCAACTTCTCAGTTCATTTTTTTCCTCACTCACTTTATTGAGAATAATTTGTGTAAATAGACTTCCTCCATTTGAAGGGTACAATTTGAGGAGTTCTGACAAGTACATAACAACATAAAGCCACCAGCACAGTCATGATAAAAAACATTTCCATAGCCCCTCTATTTGTCTGCCAGGACTGCCATGACAAAATACCCCAGACTGGAAAGCATACACAATAGAAATGCAATCATTGACACTGATATTTCATTTTAAGTGATCTTCTCTAATTTAAAAGAAGTGTTGCTGTTATTTGAATTTTTATTTCTTTGATGCCTAGGAACGTTTACTGAGCACCTCCTCGATGCCAGGCCCTTCTGTAGGTGTTAGGATGCCTCAGGGAACAGAGTAGACCAAGTTGGCTTTTGTGTAGCTGTGGTCAGTAGGGACAGACAGCCCTTGCTCTGTGCTGGGCCACTGCATTAGTGGGGTTGGGCGGGACGGTGGTGATAATTATTATGAAGAAAAGGAAGCCCGGAAGGGCAGACAGGGAAGTGGAGCAAAGTCAGGGATGGCCTTTCTAGTAAGGCAGCATTTAACCTCAGCCCTAGGGGAAGGCTACAAGTGGAAAATGAACATATTTGGAGCAAAACGTCAAATATAGTCTTTGTATATTGATGAATATAGTTTTGACCTAGCAGATCCGTTGAAAGAGTCAGGAGGAACCCCAGAGTCTGCAGACCACACTTTGAAAATTGGACCCCACGAATTTCACTATTATGTTGTAATACAAGCGGACATAGTTTAGAAAATGGCTTAAGGAGAACATTTCTATTATAACTCATAGAAGAATATCTTGTTGTTTTTTCCCAAAGGGTCCATCGTGCTGGGATGATGTTTTAATTCCAAACCGGATGAGCGGTGAATGCCAATCCCCACACTGCCCTGGGACTACTGCAGTAAGTACCTGGTCGCATTCATTCCTCTTATTGCGAGAAAATGATGGCATCTTCACTGTTTGCTAGGAAATTAGAGACAAAAATGTCAACTGACTGTTCTTCCATCTAATAATGTTTACCAAAATTGTTATGATATTCAAGTATGTTAATTACATTCACCAAAAATCCAGCCTGTGACCCTGCCTTCCAGGGTCGCTTTCCTAGTGACTTAACAATTTTGGGGACCGTGTAGAAATGTGTCAATTTTAACTCCTTACAAAGTTACATCCATAGAAAGAAAAGGAAACGCAAGAGAAGGAGAGCCAGTTCAGAGCTTCCAAAAGAAAAATAACAAAAGTATAAGATTCACCTTTTTTCCTGCTCCAGTGATATTTTATATTTATATTCCCCATAATTAAAAATTGATTTTTTTTTCTGCTTTATCTGCTTCTACCTTTCTTTAGTAGTTTTCTGACATAGTGGACTATTACAAAATATAGTATGAGTGGCCGGCTCTGAAATCGAATTACCATCCTCTGTTCTTTGTTATCCTTTCTCTCTTTGCAAGTACATGCCGTATGTTTCATAGACAGCAGATATTTCCTGAAAGAATCCCTAAGTTCTGAATTTATTTGTTTGTTTGTTTGTTTGTTTATTTATTTATTTATTTATTTATTTAGAGTCAGAGTCTCACTTTGTTGCCCAGGCTGGAGTGCAGTGGCACAATCTCGGCTCACTGCAAGCCATGCTTCCCGGGTTCACGCCATTCTCCTGCCTCAGCCTCCGGAGTAGCTGGGACTACAGGCGCCCACCAGCACACCTAGCTAATTTTCTTTTTGTATTTTAAGTAGAGATGGGGTTTCACCGTGTTAGCCAGGATAGTCTCGATCTCCTGACCTCACAATCTGCCCGCCTCGGCCTCCCAAAGTGCTGGGATTACAGGCATGAGCCACCACACCTGGCCACTCTGAAATTATTTTTAAGATAATTTTGTTATTATGGTCATGTTTAACATGTATATTGTTGTATTTTTTTTAAAAAAAAAACCTCAAAACTCGCTGGCTCCATCGTAATCTGACTGTATACATTTCCTGAGTTGTAAATACTGTTATGGTGCCAACACAAATGTCAGCGTTAGTTCCCAAACTGTCAGAGCCAGCTGGCCATTCATATCTTCTCTAAGGAACAGAGTCTGTCAACAGCAACAGGTACCATGTTTGAGCGAGAATCATTAAAGGAGCTTTCTCTCGCCAATCTGCTGGCTGATCGGAAGGATACCAAGACAGCAGTGGGCAACAATAAACAGTCACTCTCTACCAGACTAGGGCTAGGGGCTATGAACAGATTTTTGTCCATCCAAATCCTGAAGAAAGAAATCCTGAAGAAAAATAATGACTTGTATATCACTCACAGATTTTTGAGACATCACATAGTCTTGCCAGTTTCCCACTGGGATGAAATTAAAGCGCGTATTTCCTAGGGCGGCATTCTTAAGTATAATTACATACCTTTACATGTATACAAATGTAATATGTTTATATTATAGCATACATAATATGTAGATATAATTACATCTAATAGTGTAATTATATATACATCTATGTTTCCACAGATACATATGTGTGATACATATATACATACATATAATCTTGCCCCTAAAAACTTGTAAGTACAACCTGATAGGTTTATGCTTACAAGTTTTTAGGGTCAACATTATATGTATGTGTAGGGTATACATATATACAACAGTATATGTATAATGTTTGAGTTATATCTGTAACTGAAACCTGAGTTTGGGGCCAATATTCACTCTTCCTGTGCGACACAGAAAGTCCTGGGTCTGGCATGTTGTTTAATGCAGTCAGTCATGAGTTGTAGTCCTGGGTACCGGGCTGAGAGTAGCCCAAATCCTTTAGGAGCCCTGTCTTTCAAAGGAGTCCTGAAATGATTTTCCCAGTCAGTATTTCAAGGAACATAAACTAACAATCAGAAAAACCACAAAATATATGTGGAAACAAGCCATGGTGAATAAGAGTGAGAAGAATTCAAAACAGTAAAGAATATAGAAATTGAAATCATCAAGAATAGAGTATAAGGATACTTAATATGTTTAAAAAATAAAACTGTATAAGACAAAGATTAAAAAAAAAAGAAAACTATTGGAAATATCCAGTCGAATTAAACAAGCACACATACCTGAAATTCTAGAATTATATATAAATTTTAATAATTGACACAAAGTGTACTAAATGGGCTGAACAGCAAATAAGACATAGCTAAAAAGAGAAAGTAGAACTTAGATCTGAAATTTGACCTGAAAAAAAATTATCCTAAATGCTGCCAGAACATAATAATAGATTTGAAATATAAAAGAGAACTTAAAAAACATGGAAGATAGAATTTGATAATACAGTCATTCCTATCTACGGCCACACCACCCTGAATATGCCCGATCTCATCTGATAATACAGTCATTCTACGTATCTTTGGGGGATTTGTCCTAGGGCACCTTCCGCCCACTTTGGATACCACAGTCCACAAATAAGGGGACTCATAGGCTGTTTGAAGCCATCACAGCTGTCACATAGAGACTTTAAAATCCATGGGGCAAGGAAGCCTTGCCCAGAAGCTTCCAGCGGACACCCCTTGATCCCCTTGTCCAGATTAGGCCAATTCTGTGCACAGACAGTCCGGATTCGCTCCAGGGTAGTGTGGGTGACACTAGAGGCTGCGTTCTTTGATCATGTGGGGGCAGCAGCTTCCCCATCAGGATGGAGAGGAAGGACGGCTTCTTCCCATCAGCCCTATGGGTGACAACTACCCCTGGGTTCCAGGGACGGTCAGAAAGTACATCATCGCCCCCGAAGTCCTCACACCTCTGTGGCCCTTGAGGCCACCCCATGGCCCTTGGCACGGGTGCTCTGGACATGGGGTTGCATCATGACCAAAGGCATTCTCACAAAGGCCACGCTCCTGCTTGCCTCTCAGGTGGGAGCACATTGTTCCTAAACAAGGATGAGGAGGCACGTGCACAGCAACCTTAAGACCATGTCTGGTGTGCACTCCCAAGTGTGTATCTGCGGCGGAAAACTGGCCATGCTCATGAGGCCTATTAGCCTATGAAGTTCCCGGTGACAAATGAGGCTTCTTCACACTCATTGCACTCACCAGGCATCTCTCCAGTGTGAGCATTCATGATGCTTAAGGCCTGAGCGTGGCTGAAGAATCTCTCATAGGTGGCCTCTCCTGGGTGTGAGTTCTCCATGCTGAGTGAGTGGGAACTTTCTCAGCCTGGCTTCCCCAACAAATCCCTTCTGTGGTGTGGACTTTGGAATTCTGAAGGAGCTGACAGCTTTGGCTCCAGGTTTCTTCATCTTCCCTGTACTCAAAAGACCTCTCCTTGCATAGAAGATCCTGGTGCCGAATGAGGGGGGAGTTTTAGACACTTTCTTATCATTGCAGCACTTGTAGGACATGTGTAATTCCTCACACTCCTAGCACATATGGGACTTGCCTGGTGAATTTTCTGGCAGTAAATAATGGCTGCTGCTTCTCAAGACCTTTCCAAACACCATGTGTTTATAGGTTCAGAGCTGGGCCTCCCTGTCTTCTCTCTATTCAAGTCCTTGCTGTTCAGTACCCTGGCCCCTCATCAATTCCAGCTGTGTGGCCACAGTGGTTGCGGGGAGCGGGGAGTGGCCTCAAGTCCCAGTGAGGGCTTGAGTTCAAAGGTCTTCAGTAGTCTGCATGGACCATGCTCCTCTGGGCCTAGTAGAAAGCCCCTTCTCCAGGAGAGCAGCCAGCTATGTCCTCAAAGGTCATGGTCCCTGTGCCAAGGTCATTATCTTCCTCACCTTTATTGGAACCTCAGGCTGGGGACCTCCCGGGAAGCAATTCCTGGCCCATTCACCTGGTCAGTCTAGTCACTGTCAACATTGAACCCTCAAAGTTAGAGGTGAACCTCCATTGTCTAGTATAACCATTCAAGGGATTGAACTAAAATACAAAATGCCAAATTGGGAGACGGAAAAAAAAAAAAAAAAAGAGGGGGGGTGAAATATAGGAAAGTGGGACAACTTAAGTAGCACACACAAAAATGGCACAAGTAAAACTTCATGTAACAGAAAGGAAAAGAAATGGAAATGCACTAACTGAAGTTTAAAAGACAATGACTCTTAGACTGGGTTAAAGGAAAAGAATCTAGCTTTACGTAGGTTACAAAAGACATACGTAAAAGAGGTGAGCAGAAAAACATCAAAAGTAAAAGAATGGAAGGTCATAATCCAGGCAAGTATTATCTCAAGAATGCTGTTGAAACCATTTTAATTGCACATAAAATAGATTCTTAGGGGAGGGTGGAAACATTACTAAAAAAGAGACTTTCAAGATTTTGAGAAAAAAATATGTTCAGAATCCCAGGAAAAATAGACTTTTGAGGTTCTGGGGATAGAAAGGTTTAGTAACCCAGGAAGATAAAGCAGTTTAAAATGGTATAATCTTAGTAACATGGATTCAAAATATACTAAGGAAACATTGTCAGAATTAACAAAATACGTAGATAAATGTAACACCATGGTGGGAGAGAGAGTAACACAGCTCTCTGCAGAGTTGGAGGCTCCTGCAGTACAAGCTTAGGAAGGATACATCTGATTCATACCACCAGTGAGCCCACGACATCAGGATAGAGTCACTGGGCAACTGGAGGATATCAACAACTGATCATGTTTTAGGACCTTAAGAAATTTAAATATCAATAGCAAAAATATAACTCTAAAAATCTGTTACACGTGGACATGCAAATTACTGAGTGAATGTAAAGAGCTAAATAGAAATAAGGGAACAAGCAACAATGAAAGGGTACCACATAGCAGATATTTTGGAGTATAGCTAAATTTGTATTTAAACAGGGAATTCAGGATCATAAATACCTCAAAGATATTCTTATTAAGGTAGGAAAAGGAAGCATCATATCCAACTATATTTTTTCTGCCATATTTAATAAACACCAACTAAACGTCTGT